CTTTATGTAGCGGACCTCATATTCGTAACTCGATAGTCGTAAACTCCATCGAAACAGTCTGCCGGACGGGTTTTTGATGGTTTTCAGCCACTGCAATGCGTGATGGTCAGAAAATATAGTAAATTTTCTGCCCATAAGATAGATGCGAAACTTCTCCACACTCTCAACGATTGCTAAGCACTCAAGTTCAGAGATGGAGTAGTTTTTCTCGTGTGGGCGCAATGTTCGGCTGAAATATTGAACTGGATATATGTTCCCGTCAGGGTGAACTTGTTTGAGAATGCCTGCTATACCGAGGGTGGATGCATCGCAATACACTTGGCATGGCAGACCTTCTTTGTAAAGGTGTAAAATGGGGTGTTGTGTGAGGTTTCCTTTCAGGTCAATGAACGCCTCTTGACAAGCTTCATTCCAGTTCCACACGACATCCTTTTTGAGGAGATTGTTGAGTGGTGCTCGCAAGCGAGCGTATTCCGGAATGAATTTGTTATAGACGTTCACAGCGCCTAAGAAGGATTGTAGTGTTTTTTCGGTTGTGTGGTTGTTTAATGGCGTGGATGATGTCGGTATTGCGTGTAAGTGGTGTAATTGTACCAGCTGTGATGGTGTAACCTAGAAAATTTATGGATTGCTTAAAAAATTCGCATTTCGCGAAGTTAAGTTGTAACTTCTCCGCTTCGCAAAAGGCGAAAAATTGTCGCAGGTGGTTTTGATGTTCCTCCAATGTGTTGGAGTAAATGATGAAATCATCAAAGTAATGTGCCACACAGTCAAGTCCGTGTCTCTGTAGGACCTGACTTATGGCTCGTTCGTAAATCTGAGGACTGGTTTTTAACCCGAAAGGTAATCGAGTGGGTTGGTATAATCCTTCAAAGGTGGCAAATGCTAACAGTGGTCGAGAATCGGGGTGTATTGGAACTTGCCAATACGCAGAGGATATGTCGGCCGTGGAGAAATATTTGGCCTGTGCGAGGCGGTCTAGGATATCCTCGATTCTCGGGAGGGGATGGACATCAGAGCTGATTAGCTCATTCACCTTCCTATAATCGATACAAAACCGTTTGGTCTTGTCGCGCTTAGTGACGAGGGTGACAGGGCTCGAGAAAGGTGAAAAAGATTGCTCTATGATGCCGTTCTCCAGCATTTGTTGTATTTGGTTACGGATTTCTTGTTGGTCACATATCGGAACACGATATGGACGTATGGTGATTATTTTTTTGGAATTCGTGGGTATTTTTACTGGTGGAATCTGTAAGCATGGTACGTTGAATTTGTCCTGTGAAAAAATGTGAGTGTACCTTTGTAGAAGTGTTGTGAACTGTGGTGTATAGTGAGTGTTAGGTGTTGTGTTGTAGTATGCATGTGGTAAAGGGTTTTGTTGTGTATTAGTGTGAGTGTCGAGTTCGTTGTGTGGGTTGGTCATGTGAGAGTTGTGCGACGGTGTGTGATCACCTATGTTTTTGGTATGCGAGTTATCCCGCTGTGTGGGTGCGTTTTGGACAGGTTCATAAGTTGAAGTTGTTGTGGTTTGATTATTTGAGGGCATGTAAAAAGGGCAATTGGCTTTAGTGAAAAAGGGGGCATGTAGATAAGTGGGTTTTTCTCAATGAATGCACGCAATGGTTGTCATAGGCGGAAAGTTGGGATGCGGGGAAAATATTTTGTGACATCGCCTGACACTGCCAGTACGTGCATACATTGGACACATGATTAAAATGGTAGGAAAGGGTAGACAATGGGGCGCCCAGCTGGAGTATAGTGCATTTATTAAAATCTATGGTTAATCTGAATTTATGGAGGCTATTGATACTAAGAATTCCGAATGGCAATGGTGCATTCACTACATGGAAATACTCCTTTCGTGATATTTGTCCTATTGTCAGTGGGATAGATAGTTTACCCATGGTTTTTGCAAATCCGTTTAGGGTTTGGAGGTGTAGTGAATGTCCCTCAAGGGTTAAATTAGGCAGGTGGGTTTTTAGCATATGATAAATATTATATGGCACTATACTCAGGCTGGCGCCCGTATCAATTAAAAAGGGGCATGATACATTAGGGGCTAGAAAAAGTTTGACAGTCAGTTGGTTTAGGAATCCTACCTCAGTCTCGAAAGGGCTGCTCGGCTGGGGTGTCCCTGGCTTGACTTGGTTGTTGTGGAATCGTGGTTGGTTGTTTTGGGACTGTTTGCACCGTCCGCACTTTTTCGTGGGTCGTCGGGACTGGTCGAAGTCGGCATTCGCTGTGCCAGTGTCTCGCGCCGCAGAACTTGCAATTGGATGGTGGAAGAGGTGCATTCCATGCACCTGGGCGTCGGGGTGTGCTGTGGTACGGACCCGACATTGTGGGTGGTTGATCTTCTCTGGGTCGCGTTGTCGGTGCACTGGGCCCGTGGATCCGCTGTACCAGTCGGAACCATTCTCCTAGATTCTCGGGAGGGACTACGCGGACTAGGCGCTGGTCGTTGAATGGCAGTCCTTCTGTCAGCGTCTCGAGGATCACCTCTTGTGGAAGTCCTAGTTGCAATCCCATGGCGGTTTTTTTCCCGGTAGTAGGTCTCTAGGTTGGCTTGTCCAGTAAGTTTCATGGCGAAATATTTCGCAAAGGACGCTTCGCTTGACTCAGGGTAGAGATCTAGGAGGATTTGTCTCACCTGGAAATAACTCCGGTCGGCCAGTCGAAGTTTCCTGAAGAGCTCCAGGGGTTGTCGCACCAGGTAGTTTGGCAGGCGCAGTAATTTTTCTTGTTCTCCCATGGATGCGTCTTCCATTTTTCGGTCGAACGTCTGGAAAAACTGTGTCGCGCTGTATGCGCCGTCGAAAGGTGGGATCGCCGACTCCGCTCCATCAGAAATTTTTACCCGGGTCAGGAGCGTTGACAGCTGGTTGACGGCGTCCGCTAGGGGCGCAGTTGTCTCTCGGCCGGTCACCTCCTGTCTTTCTCCTGTCGGTTCGCTTTCTCTTACTTCTTGCCTTCTTTCCATTGTTTCCGTCGGACCGTCTGACTTTACGCCTATGGGATCCTGATTTAATTCCATCTCTTTATCCTGTCGACTTAACCGTTCTGTGATAATATCGTTGCGGGGTTTCTTGTTGTTCGATTTGAATGGTGAGGATTGGTTGAAACGCAGTCGTTTGAGTGGAAGTTTAAGCATACAGTTAGGAATAATCAGGACACGTGATTGGGTTTGAAAATAAAAGGCAACTGGGTTGGAGGGAAGAAAGCTTGAGAAGAGCTGAGCGATTTGACTTATTAATTAGTTGATCACATGGCGATGATTGGATTTAGATGAAATGAGCGGAGAGAGAGAGATCCCTAGAGTAGATGTTACCTTGTTGGAAGCGAAGGAGCAACTGACTATTCTTGCTTTTTCGATTTAACACCAAGACTCAGTTTCTCTCTGATTGGTCGAGAGATGTTACATGATCTTTTCCTATTGGTTGACCTACTTAAGGTGCTGTCTTCTGATTGGCCCGCGGTTCTCTTTGGTGAAAGATATGGCCTGCCTGATAGGAAGTGTCGGTTGCTATTTCGATTTTATTTACTTCCGCGTTATCAAAATACGTCCGGTCTTGGGTCGGAAGTATGGGGTGTCTCTATACTAATATAACTTCTGTGGATACCAGATACGTCCTGCTTTGTCAGGAAGTATTGAGTGCTTCGCGACTAATATAACTTCTGCGGTCACTAGAGACGACCGGTCTCTGCCCCTGCAATATTGACACAGGGGTGCCCAGAATAGTCGTGCCAGCTTTAGGCCTATTTCCTATGTCTTTTGTTACTTTCTTTCCTCCAGTTACCTTATTCTTTTATTAAATCTTTGAAAATCATACATTTGTACATGCATAGTGGGTCGGGGAGCATACAATTATATACAAATTATGACATATATGTGATGATGTCTTGTTGACTCTTGTAGAATCCTGTCGACTAAATATGTGATGAGGTATCCAGTCGACTTAAACTATGGAGTGAGTCCCTGTCGACTCTCGCTATACTGTGTTGACCGAGAGGAACAGTCAGGATGGGGAGTTTTCCAGTACCTCTCTGCACCTTGGGAGACCTTTAACAGTTCTCACAGAGTACAGGCAGTCGTGGTCGACACTGGTCGACACTTTTTACTGGTCTACATGATGGATGAGAAGGACCTTGGTGACAACCGACGAGGGCTCACGCAGATGGTGAAGTGACTATATTTTTGGCTAAGACGGAGGCTTTATATATCTTTTCCGAGAAAGGGAGTATTGCATTTCAGCAGATGTGAAGAGCGTAGATCGTCTGGCGAAACTCTACACTGGCGCCATCCTGACAGTTTCCTATCTATCTTTAGACTTTGTTGTGGGGATTTTAAATCTATCTCGATTTTAGACGTTTTTGACCTTTTGCTTTAGCTCAACTCTTAATCTATTACAGAGTTTTATTTATTTATCCTCAGTTTGTACAAAGTACATTACATATGATGATGTAATGACACATGTCAATCATGCGTATAATCATTTACAGATGTGTTTCTATTATAAAACATGAAAATCTTGTTATAAGTTATATACAATATGGGGTTGTTGGTTAAATTACCATATATATGTATACCAAAAGTGACATCTCTCTCTTTAAAAATGAGCAAAACATTTTACTTACCACCTCAGTATTATACAAAACTAGGTACCTTATTTGAACCACGAATATCATCCTCCCGAATCTTTCTATTTTGGATATTAAATATATTTCTCTCTTTACGTGATTATTTCTTCCTAGGTGCACACATAAAGTTATAAATGGTGTATATAAAAGTCAATTTCTGTCTGTCTGTTTCGCGATAAACTCAAAAACTACTGAACCAATTGATACCAAATTTTGCATGTCGCTTTTTATAACCCTGAGGAAAATTTTCGGCTGCATTTTGATTAGTATTTTTGGCTATTTCTTTTTTTCATTTGAAGAACTTTTTTTTACGCGGACTAATCCGGAATATAATGAACACCTAAATATGGCCATTTTTTCAAGCATCGGTGGTTCAGTGGTAGATTGCTCGTCTGCCACGGGGGGGGGGGGTTCGATTCCCGGCCGATGCATTTTTTTTAAAACAATTTTTAAAACTCCTTTATATAATATAAATATATATTATTATATCAACTATATTAATTAAATCAAATACCTAAACACTAATATAATACAATTTTGCCATCACACACACTTTTTTCCTGTAGTTTATGTGTTACTTCTGTATTGCTATTCTATGGCACTTCTAATATTTATTATTGATATACTTTTAGTATGAAGGAAATTGCACCCAAGGGATTTCTCGGGCGAAGCCGGGTCATTCGCCTAGTGACTAATATAAATGAATAGATATATATAAGACCATGTAATATATATATATATGTGATAAGAAGACGACTAAATAGATTTTATAGTTATTATCCCTAGTACACGTAGTACAGAACATGATATTCATGGTAGGTAGTAGTTAATGATAAAAAGGTGATAAAAATAAAACAGAAAAATCATTCGTAATAATTTAAACCGCGAGCTTTTGAGCTTTGGCTCTTTAACAGACAGGAAATGTTATTATACGAATGAACTTGGGTGTCTTAATATAATCTTTTTTGCCTGCTAAAAAGCGATTAGATAAGATCGCGGTTAAAGTTAATAAACTAAACTCATTGCTAAAATTATTTATTTAATATATATATATATAATATTTCGAAACTATTATAGACGCGTAGAACAGTAGAAATTGTTTAATTTGTAAAAGAATCATACGCGTCTATAATAGTTTCGAATTTTCATAACAGATGGCGCGCTAATGTATCATCATATATAATATTTATTGTACAATTTTTTCTACTTATTTTATATATATATTTAAAATAAGCAGAAGAATACAAAATCTCTCTAATACAGTCGAATTTGGAAATTTCGAAGCCCAAGAGACAAAAAAAAATCGAATTATCCAAAAATTCGAATTGAAAACGGGAAATTCTATTTATAGGAAATTCTATGGAACAAGATAAATATTCGAATTTTTTAAAAATGTTATATAAGAATAGCCCACTCTTCTTTATCGTTAGACAACAGACAGTAAACAATGTTGTAGATGAATTTGTAAATACTAGAGAGAATTATCATAGATTTAACCATTTTTTGTAAATATATTTATGATTATCTTTCTAACCTGAAAGATTCAGGTTCCTAATATATATTATTGTTTCTCTTTTTATTTTTAATTATAATTTTTTATTGTATAACATGTTTATAACTGTTTCTGTTTAAAAATGTAAATCGACGCAATTATCCCTAACCGGGATATCGCGTTTTGTATATTTAAATAAATAAATAAAGACGTTAAATTATCAAAGTACTACTGTATTTTATAAAATTGAAGAGAGAAAGGAGCGCATGGAAAGTATGGGTTACCATTGTAACTAAACAATGGAAGTAGACCCCACACATCAAAGATACATAAGGTATATATATATTAGGTCGGATAGTTGTATGTATGAAGCTGAATCAATATCGGAAAGTTCCCTCCTCCCCTTCCCATCCAATAAGCTGATGGACATTTCCAGCCAAGATTTATTGGAACCTCCGTTTGATACGCTACCATCAATATTGTCTGTCTCTCCCGCCACCGCAAGTTGGACTTTTTTTATTATCATCGTATTCTGTGGGTATCATTCAGGAAATCTCTAGATCATTCTATCCTAACTGTCCGTTCTACCGTACATCTATATCTCCATTATGTAAATTGGTTTGTTTTTTAATTCGTTTCTAAATTTGTCTCAGGAATGTAAGTTATCTCCCACATATATGTGAGAAAAGTAGAGGACTCTGTCGTAAATATGCAATTTAGGGTGTGTGCACAAATATCCAGATTATCTATATATAGGAATATGCAAATTTACAAGGTTGTTTTTTAATTTGCAGGGAAATTTTAACTCCCTTTTGGTAATCATCCAAAGCAAAAGTAGAAGATTCTGTTTTGTAAATATATAATATAGGATATAAGTATATAGATTCAGAGTATAATTTATACATTGAAATATATTGAGAGAAAATCCCTTTATATGATAAATATGTACAAAAGGTAATTTACACAATAAAATATAGAAATAATTTTACAAAAGTTTCTTTCTTTAAACTGTCAATAGTGGGAAGTGGTGCCGAATATATTAACGCTTTAATATATATTTAGATATCCATCCAATAAATATTCTCCTATATTGCAGCATACCACCACCGTATAGAAATATATTTAATCAGTGAATATGAATATTAACGATAGTAATATATTTGACCACATTACAGAATGTGTCTTCTGGAAAAAACCGCCCTCTCTTTTATATTAAAAAGAGAAATATATATTAACGTTGTAATTAATGACGATTTTTTCTTACTTCTGTAATTTTCTCGTAATATCCCTTTGAAGCTATATAATCAGAATATAATGTTTAATATATATATATATGAGTGTGTTATATATAGAATATTTCATTTTGTATAGATAGATGGATATGTTTCTTTTTATCTCTACATATTATATCCTATATTAAACTCTACTACAATTTTACATATTTCCCTTCAAAATATCGTTTGGATATATCATCTATGTTAGTGAAAGGCAAGCCCGCGCGACGAAGAGAAGAACAGTTTTCAACCAACACCACCGCCGAGGGACGGTGGCGACGTCACGGTCGGCGCGCATGCGCGGCGGCGGCGGTCACGTGGGAAGCAGGGGAGTGGGCCCTTCGAATTCTGACGGCCAACACGGACTGACTTCCTTCCCAATCCATCCTTTTCAATCGAACATTTTTTAACTTCTTTAATTACTAAAATTAATTTGTAACATAATATTTATATCTATATTTATCCTGAATAAAATTTAAAATATCAAGGATGATTAATTGAATCATTCTTTCAATACCAAACGAACCTGTCATAGTGTACCATTCAAAAAGTGTACCGAATATTGTGGCGAGCCCTGCCAAGGATTTAAGATGGACAAACTCAAGAAAGCTTGTGAGACGAAAAAGAGGACTTTGGAAAGTGTTATTGCAGAAGCAGATGGCGAACTTGGAAAGCAAGAACCAAGCCTAGAAATGTTGATGTCTCTACGACCAAAGCTCCTCAGATGTAAAGACAGGTTCTTAATTGCCAGTGATTGTCTCATCGAACAACTGATAAAGGCGGATAGAGAAGATGAAGAAATTGAAGATGTCGATATCGTTCAAGCGAATCTATTTGGAAGGTCTGAAGGCGTTTTGCAAAAAATGGAACAATTACTAGCAAAACCAACAGTAGACCGAGAATCAATAGTTTCCGGGGGGAACGAAGGAAAGTCAAATCTTCATCGACTTCCGAAGTTGGAACTACCGAAATTTGGAGGAGAAGCACGGGAGTGGCTGCAGTTCTGGTCAGCCTTTCAAAGCGTCCACGATGATGACTCCATTTCGGCCTGTGTCAAGTTTCAATACCTACAAAATTGCATGATAAAGGGATCGGTGTCGGAGGAAATAGTTTCATCCTTTCCAAACTCAGCGGCAAATTATCCACTTGCCATCAGCACTCTTAAGGAACGTTTTGGCCGTGAAGACATGTTGGTGGAAGTGTACGTAAGGGATTTGATTGCTATCATTTTGGAAAATGCTCATGGAAGGAACACGACATCTTTTTCGACTGTATACGTTCGGTTATCATCACAACTACGAGCGTTGGGGTCTTTAGGAGTCACAACAGATAAATGCGCTGCTATTCTGTACCCCATGGTGGAATCAGCTTTACCTGAAGATCTCTTCGTCGCGTGGGAAAGGACTCGTCATCATCACAAGCCTGATGAAGATGGAAAGCATAATTCAATTGAAGCCCTCCTGGAGAAGCTTATGGAATTCCTAAAACACGAAGTTGAGGGAAGTGAAAGAATGCGTTTGGCTCGTCAACCGTTTTCGAGTTCGTATCCATCACAATTTAATCGAGATAAGCCGCCCAAGCCGAAGACATCTGTCGCCACCGCTGCAAGTCTGGTAGTTGCTGATGGGAAGTCAAATAACGCTTATAAATGTGTATTTTGTGATGGAAAACATTGGAGTGAACAATGCTGTAAAGCCATGTCAATGTCTCTTGAAGCAAGAAGGAAAATAATTCAAGAGAAACAGTGTTGTTATTCTTGCTTGAAGCCCGGACACTTTTCCAAGTATTGCAGAAACGTTGTGAAATGTGTCATCTGTAGTAAAAAACACAGGGCAATCTTGTGTCCAGTTTCAAAAGGCAGCCAAAAATCTGATGGGATTGAAGAGAGAAGTAAGAACATAAATGCATCCGTGGACATGTCGAATCAAATTCGGTGCCAAGATGTCTTACTTCAAACAATCATGGTAAATATTAATGGCGAAAATAAATCAAAAGTTGTTCGAGCAATGTTAGATAGTGGATCCCAGAACTCATATGTATTGGAACAAACTGCTTCCGAAGTTGGACTCACTATGCTCGGGAAAAAGGAAGTTGTACACTTACTATTTGGTGGAGTGAAATCGAGACCACAGCAGAACAAGCGGTATCGAATCTACATTTCTGATGTGGACTCCAAGTACAACTGCAATTTTGAAGTACAAGACTGCTCAACGATTTGTAGTGCAATGCCTTCCGCTCAACCTACCGAATGGATGACGGAACTTCGATCAAAGGGAATTGACTTGGATGTCTATAGGTCGAACACGGAGATTGAACTACTACTAGGAGCAGACGTATACGCCAAGCTACTAACAGGAAAGAAAATAGAATTGGAATCTGGTCCCGTCGCTCTCGAAACGAAGCTGGGCTGGACTGTTAGTGGAAAGGTTTTGGGAAATGTTCAAACAACTAAATCTCAATCATCAGTTCTGTCATGCTTAGTCCGTGATGCAACAATACAAGATCTTTGGAGATTAGATGTCATCGGTATCATGGAACCCATGAAGGAAAAGAGCAAAGAAGAGTTGTCAGTTGCAGCGTTGGAACATTTCAACCAGTGAAACAGAATGAAGATGGTCGATATTCTGTCAATTTACCTTGGATAGGAGGACACCCACCACTCCCT